AAAATTAGAAATTAACAATGTTTCTCTCAATTAGTCAATCCCATCAATTGGAAACTTTTTCAAACCTGGATGAACAAATTCAAACCTCGAGTTGAAATGCCAATTAGTCATTTGTTTTTTTTTTTTAAAGGATAAGAGACTTGACAACATGATAAAAGGAACGACAGATGACATAATATTTTCATAAGTTCATCAAGTTCGTTAACTTTTAAAAAGGCGAGGAATAAAGCGACGAATGTGATAACATTTTGATAAGTTGAATATTAACTCGAAATTTAGGAGCAATTGAAAGTACTTCAAAACTTCAATTATAATTGGGATTCAGATCTTGATTAAACATCTTCTTTCCGGCCCCTACCCTTTAGCTTTCTCAGTTCAGCGCCGGGTTGGGTCTACAAATTGTTACTAAAAAAACCCTCATAATTTGCTAATTGATTGGTCTGTGACGAGGGGTTTGGTAAATTCAGCTGTGAAGTTATCTTTTCCTCATTTAGTTAAATTGCTTTTGTTCTTTCGAAAAATTAATAAAAAACAAGGACCTTAATTATGAGAACGGCTAGGAAGAAAAGTAAACCGTGTTTTACGGTGCAAGGACGAATAAGCAAAAGCTGACGCAGTGACTCGTGAAAGCCGTTCAGCTGTTAGATCACCATGCAATGGCTGGGATTCAATCTTTCTTGTTGCAAACTGGAAGAGAACTGTAGTAGTAGTAGCAAATTTCCTGCTCTACAATCAATCTCCAACTAATAATTCTGAAATTTGCATCGATCATTGCTATCAAACTGTAGCAAATAAATATTCAATTTTAAGAATTGCAGGAGGAGTTCTTCACGATATTTATCTTTGTAAAATTAAGGTATACTAATGAAAAGAGTTGAGATTTATAGCTTTCTTGATTACCGGCGCCTCGAAGGAAGTTATCTAGCTTTGGTTTTCTTGTACTCGCTTAGGCACTCGTTTATGAATTTTTTATATGCCAACATATCACATTTTCCTAATAAATGGAAAAGTGCCATTTTAAATATGATGTCACTAATAGTAGTTATCAGGGGTGGAGTAAGAGGGGGTTTACAATTATTTGGACCGCACAAATATAAATATCAAAAAGAAAATTTGACAAAACATTTTTTGTTAATATAATTTTTTAGCCGGGGTTATTAGGGAACCCTTGAATCCGCTCTTTGTAGTTATTGTATTGGTATCCATTCATTTGCTAGCAAGAAGTGATGTACTTAAATATGAAAAAATTAGTGACAGAGACCGTCATGAGCCAATGAATGGGGACAATAGATCTCAATTCCTAATAAAAACGCAGCTAGCTTCAAATTTTTAATCATCAACTTGAAGTGAAAAGCAAAATTTAACACTTACTTGAGGGTGAATTTCATTCTCAATCACTGTACTTTGACACAAAATGTCAGTTGGGTGTTTCTACTTCAATTCCTATCAATTTAGTCATTACACTCTTCATTTGATTTTATATAAGGTCACTCCGTCCCATTTATTAATGATGGTTGATGACGTGCCCCTTAAATACGAAAGGAAATCCTATGCGACCGTTAATACTTTGCCAACTCAATAATATATGTTCATGTCATAAATCAAACAAATATGCTTTCAAAACTAAAAACACAAACAACTCGTTGAACATAAATTCTTGAGTTGGTAGTCACTTGAACATAAATTTTATATGACTAAAAGTCTGACAAGCAAATTGTATCTGAAACAAATATTGTATTCTCATCGCATGGCTAAAGGTAGATCTTTGAAAGATCATCTAACTATATTTAAAGAGATTGTCGCTGATTTGGATTTTGGAGACTTTAGATGGAAAGTACAATGAAGAAGATATGGCCATAATCATTTTGTGTTCGCTACCCACTTCGTGTAGAGACATGATCTTTTACAGTTGTGATACTCTCACCATTAAAGATGCGTATGATATCTTATTTTCAAAAGTGAATATGAAACATCTGGTTGCATCTTAGATCAGAGATGGAGAAGGCCTTGTTGGTCATGGTGATTGGAAAAGAGATAAGTCGAGGTCAAATTTCAGTAATCTGGTTTGTTATTATTCTAAGAAGAAATGACAAATAAGAGGGATTCCGATAAATTGCAGAACAAAAGCAATTTGACTGCAAATTATGGGAAGCAATCAAGTATTTCAGACAAGACCAACATAGCCGAGAGCTATTTAAGTGATAGAGATGTTTTGATGATTTCTGACGTGGAATCCAAACCTAACGAGGAGTGGATTTTGGATACACCTTGTGCGTTCCATATGTGTCTGGATCAGGGATTTGTTTGAAACATATGAAACGGTGACGCAAGGTGTCGTTATGGGTAACAATGAACCTTGTCAGGTAACTGGTATTGGTAGAGTCAGATTGAAGCTAGTGGGTGAAACATGTAAAACATTTGATCACATTCAATATATTCCAGACTTGAAAAATAATTTCATTTCATTGAGTACTCTTGATTCAAATGGGTACACGTTCTCTGGAGGATGTGGAATCTTGAGGGTTCGAAAGGGTGTTCGTGATGTATTAAAGGTGCGGAAAATGTCACGGTTATACATCTTGTAAGGTTGGCCAGAATTTGTGATGAAAAGTTTTGGACATATTTAGTACAGTGGAGGAGATTCAGTTTGGTACTGTACCTTTGAGAATTATTTCAGGGTCCATATTGAAGAATACTACGTAGTTGAATTTGGAGGATATAAGTAATTCCGCTTTGCCATCATTATCTGCGGTTCCATCGTATTCAACTGATAGGAATAAACCTATTGAAAATATGTACGTGTATGCTGATTTGGATGCACGTGCTTTTAGCGTTTTTGAAGGTGTTGAGACTAGCCATGTGCATTCTATGAAATCATTGAGAGTTTGATTCTGCTATAGGGTGTGCTTTGACACCGTTTGATAATTTCTAATTCTTTGTGAGTTTAGGGGAACTCGGTGTTTGGGTTTATGTATCCGTGTTGGATATCGTGGAAAAGGAGAATTAATTTTGTGTTGGAGAAAGTTTGGTTCTTTTTCTATTAAAGCATTGGGATTTGATTCTGCTATTAGGTATGTGTCGACTTGGAGAACTCGGTGATTGGGTTCATGTTTCCTTGTTGGATACCGTGTAAGATGAGTATTTTTGTGTTGGAGAAAGTTTGGTTCTTGTTGAAGAGTTCTATTTTTTCGTTGCAGCCGATTTATTTTTTCAAGTGGCGAAATCTTGGAGCTTCGTTCATTACATCGTAATTTGTGTCAGGGTGGAGTTTTTTGGATTTTTGACTCAAATTTGATTGAATTTTTTGAGAAAATAATTTTCCTTCTTTACACATATTTTTATTGAAAAATATTGTTTTATTTATTGCACATGATTTTTTATCTTGTTTCAATCTTTGTGATACTTCTAGGGTTTGGCATCCATCCTTATAAATACTAGACACTTTTCAAAAATTTTGTATTACTGAAAAATAGAGTAATTATGTAGGCACAATTATTGTATTTGTTTTTTTTCCATATTAGTCAATTGAATAAAATACTCAATTCTTCTGCCAATTAATTCTTTATCTTTTATGTTGTTGTTTCTTTGGATCATATTCTTCATATTTCGTCATATATATTACCACGATCCGTTTTATTTCCCAACAGCAGGACCATAACTTTAACACATTAAAACAAAGACTTGTTTGGGAGAGATTTATCCAAGTGAAATATTTTTTGCCTACAAAAATCTTTTTTTTTAGATCTACTAATTAAAAATTTAAAACAATTAATTCCTTACTGACTATATTATATATATTTCATTAATTTTGGAATTAAATTATTTGTACAATTGGGGTTGACAACGTTGATGTTATCAAAATCTGAATCATTGATTTAAAAAATAGTTTTTAAAATAGATGAACGTGATGTTATCAAATGTAGTTGTCAATCAAGAATGTAAAAAAAGATTGTACAAATAACATGATTGTTAATTTTGGCCTATCATCTCTTTTCTAACTACTATATTGATGTTGCCTATTCTTTGATCTACGTAAATTTCATTTTCTTTGTATCAATTATATAAATCTTTTCTTTTATCTTACGATTCATGCATTGAGATTTGAGAAAAAAACCCACCTTATTCGATCGTGTCGCAACATCAGCTATGCCCCCTTTTTAAATCACATTAAAATTTTCATTTTTATTTTCTACTCATTTTCAACCACACATTATTCAATAATATAATATTTTCCATCACATCAATAACTTTTCCTTATTTTTCAACCACACATTTTCCATCAATCTACTATTTCAAAATACAGTCTTCCGAAATAATGTGGTTCAAACACACCCTATATATTGAAAATTTCTGTTTTAGCTATACTCCTTCCCGTATGGCTATGCTATTTAGAGTGTGTTTGGGACACATTCTTTTGAAAAAATGTATTATTAAATAATAGATTGATGAAGAATGTGTGGTTAAAAATGAAGGAAAAGTTATTGATATGATAAAAATATTATTTTATTGAAGAATGTGTGGTTGAAAATGAGTAAAAGAATGAGAATGTGGTTTAAACAGGGGCTTAGTAATTAATGAAAATATGCTTTGGTTGTGTTATTTTTAGCTTTACCAGGGCATAGTTTTTAGAAAAATATTGTTTTGGATAGTGAATTTTTGGAGAGTGTGTAATTAAAAAATCAGTAAAATTTTGAATTTTTGTGTATTTATTTTATTATGTTAATGTATAGTTAAAAATGTGAGTAAAAAACAGAATTTCCAAAGTGACAAACAGTGGCTTAGTCATCTATTAATAGCATTCTAGTACAATTCAAATTGCATATTTACAAATTAACCCACTTCTCCCACTCCCCACCCACAAACACACAGTAGCTTGAACCTTTCCATATCCCATCCCATGATAATCATCCCTCACCACACCATCTCTCTAGGCTGAGGGTTTTTTTGGCTATGGATTTTTTCTCAAAATTGAGGTTACATCTGGCTTCTATAGGTGAAAAATGTCTGGTTTTTTCTTACTAGGTGGCAAGGACCAAGAACAAGAACAAGAACCCACCAATAACAGCCTGTTTCTCTTCAAGAACGAGGAGATCTATAACAAGGGTTTTGAATTGTGGCAACAGTATTATCACTTTCATCAACAAAAACTGCAACACCAAAATCACCATCAAAATGGTGATGATCCTTGCAATCATAGTTATAGATCAGCAGGGTTTAGGGTGATGAGGCCAAGCAGAGGCGGAGATGGTGGCGTAAACTGCCAGGATTGCGGGAACCAAGCAAAGAAAGAGTGCGTGCATCTAAGGTGCCGGACTTGCTGCAAGAGCCGCGGTCTTCCCTGCGAAACCCACGTCAAGAGCACTTGGGTTCCGGCTGCTAAGAGGAGGGAGAGGCAGCAGCGGCTTGCCGAATTGCAACTTCATCAGCACGAGACAGTGAGAGGGGAAAATTCCAAAAGGCAGATAGAGAGTCCAAGTGATGGTGGTGGTGGCAGTGGCGGTGGTGGAGGATTCTCTCTGGACGGCACTACTAATACATCTTGTTTACCTATCACTACCTTGTCAGGTGATGCTCTTTCTCAAAATCCAAACAAAAATAGGGTTTGAAAAATAATCGGCTCTTGGTTTGAATCCAGAAAAATAGGTAAATGATAAAGTACAGAGAAAAAAATCAAGAAAAAACTGTAATTATCTATGGAGAATGTATGTATGCGTACATATATCAATCTGTATGTATCATTTGCTTGTGAAAATGAGGTCCAATCTCCATGTTCATCCAACCACTCGCTTTACCTTCTTTTTCTACTTCTACTGTTTCAGAGTAAACCTGACGCAAAAGTCTCCTTGAGTTAGTGAAAATTGCTGTGTATTTCAAGATTTTTCTGTCTTTTTATGAAAAACAAAACTTTTGCCTTGCAATTGTCTTGATTTTTTGGGTTTCTGATCAGGATTTGAGGTGGGACACTTCCCGGCCGAAGTGAATTCTCCAGCGGTTTTCCGCGGAGTGAAAGTGAGCGGAATTGATGCGGAGGAGCAATTTGCTTATCAGACTGCTGTCAACATTGGAGGCCATGTTTTCAAGGGAATTCTGTACGATCAAGGCCACGAAAGCGGTTATCCTGGTGCTGGTGAAGGCATCTCCTTTCAACAGCCAGCTCTTATCACAGGGGCTACCACAGCCACAGCCACCACCTCCGCCACCGCCACTAGTGTCGCAAAGCTTGATCCTTCCATTTACCGGACTCCACTTGGCGCTTTCATGGCGGGTACGCAATTCTTTCCACCACCAAGATCATAAGAACTTGAGGCTAAGAGATTTCTTTTCTTTTCTGACTAAATTATGTCCATTTTTAGTTTATGCTATAAGAAATGCATTGGGATGGTCTCATTATTAATGTTAGTAGTATTTTAATGTGGCACTTACATAAGCAAAAGTTGTACGAAGAAGGCATTGGGATGCTAGTTTTTGTTATAATTAATTCAATATGATTTTGTCTTGGTTAATCAATGCCTATTGATCTTATCTATAATGAATTTCTCCTTGTGCTTTTAACAAAATCATCTCTTTTAAAAGTAAAATGGTAAATAGTCTATTTTAAATTAAATTCCAATACACTTTTTAATATACTTTTTAAAAATAAAAAATGTGTTTGACTCTACAATTTGGAGATCCAATTAACTTTTTATTTGTATTTATAATGATTGCATTTAATTATTTCTTTGGTCAACGAAGTTTTGATTGATTACACAAATAGTCATTAACGTTATTTCTTCACTATAATAGTCACTCAAATTTTTAACTGTTACACTAATGGTCACGCGATTATAAAAATTAAATCCTACATAACATCGATAAATAGTAACGTGTCACCAAATGACGTTATTTAATATGTAAGAGTTAAGAATTACTGATTTGGCGTAATGAATAACGTCATTTGATGACATGCTATTATTTATATGTAGTATTGAATGTTAATTTTTGGACCGAGTGACCATTGATATAATGGTTAGAAATGTGAATTGCTATTACGATAAGAAATTAACTTCAATATGATCATAGTGTAATTAACCCCATCTAATAAGTTGGAAAATTTCGTTGCTCCACTCTTAAGATTTTTCAACTAACATTTAATTATTTTAACTATTGGAATTTTTTAAAAAATGGTATATATATTTATTAAAAGTAGGGAAAAAATAAATTATTATTAGAAAAAATAAAATGAAAAGCTAAAATAAAAGTGTATGTTGAAGCATGTAAAAAAAAAATCATAATTAAATTTAAAAATGCCTTCTCCGTATAAAGAAGCTGTTGGAAATGTTTTTGAAAGAAGGGAAATTATAGTGGAAAATGTTTTTTGTTTCCATAAAATCACTGAAAATGAAACTTTTTAGTAATAAAAATAAAGTATAATATTACAAAACACAAATAAACTTACTTCGTCTGAAGACGAGAAGTATAGGTAAAGGTCAATCAACTATAATACTTCATCTGCGTTTTGTATACTTTTATGTTGCTTTGACATATTAACAATTTTGAATGAAAAATTATTCAGCAATATAATATAATAAATTAAATATTACCTTATCAACGACTTTTTTTTCAATGTATTGTATTTCACTCTTCTTATTTGTTGAATTTTCTTATTTGTATTTCAACGACTTTTCTTTCCTCTTTATCTGTTTTCCTGCAAGATAAAATCGTGTTCAAAGCATATAATTTACTTCTAGTTATTCTAGATTATTCCTACTTTTTTTTCTTTTGAGAAGAATAAGGTCCACATCTCCAAGTCTTCCATGCATTGGCATCATTGTCCCAGAAGCGTAAAATTAAAGCAATATCCATCTCTCTCTCTCTCTACACATATATAAAAAAATAAATTCATGTATACTATACATATATTATGCAGCACTACAATCTTTTCTGATTTGTCAAGCCCAAAAATATGTGTGTATATATACATAATACAATGTTTATGCAAGTATATGCATGTGATGTTAAATTAATGGGCACCTTCTTAAATCTTGACTAGGTTAAGGTACGTTTAGGATGGTAAGATTAAGGTTGCTTTTTATGTAGGCTTGCTAGACGTGGTATCGTTAGTAGAAGAAAGCAGGAAAATTTGGAAAGTTTCATGAAATTAGAAGTTTGTATACTTTAGTAAGGACAACTATCTTTCGATACGAGGAAATTTCGATCCTAAAGGACACAACATTAGCTTATATCTTACTGTCTTTTCATAAACCCCCGTTTTGTATTTTGTTATTTATCATCCGCAAATTTTAAATGAACTTGTTTGGTTTTTGACTGCTTAAGTTTTTAGATGAAGCGGTTTAATGTAATTATGATAATTTGGTTGATGAACTTGATTAGTTTATAGAGCCTAGCGTTTTCTTATTGGGAGTTCTAAATATGAATTGAGAAGCCTGGTACAATAGGCAAATAATTCATGCTTCCTCGATGAGTTCATGGAAGGCAAAACTCTTGCAGGATTAGAATATTGAAGTATCATCAAAACCGACTAAGAAACTCTGATCAAATGTGAAGTCCTTGTACACTGGTATTGAAGACAAAATTTAAATGAATTCAAACAAATTAAGTTTTTACATGTGATGGCGAATATGGCATCTGAATTAGCAAACGAGATGATTTCTTCATGTCTTGTCGCCACCTATTTATGTAACTTGTGCACATATCAGGTCTTTGATGAAAAACAAATGAATTCGAAATTGTACGTGAGAAAGTGAGTATAAGACAAGATTTAAATTTATAATGTAGACCCTATATTTAAGCTTTTATATGCGATGATTAATATTTGATATATTGTTTAATTGGAGGTTTATATTTGCAATGAAAATTGTGTCTTTATTCTTTTTGAAATCCCTATACATGTCACTTCATTTGCTTCACATTGATGAAACACAATCACACGAGTTTGATGTAATAAATCATATGATATGGACATCATGTTTAATTTCCTTGTTCAAATGGAAGCTAGGAATACTTAATGGGTTTTGCTGATAGAAAATGTGTTTTATGTTCTTGAATCTTGATAAATGTTTCGCGCTTTGTGAAATAAAAGAAGGCATATGGCTTAACACAGTAAATAAACTTTTATCGACAATCATTTCTTTTTTGTTGATTAATCTCAATATCCGGCTTCAAATTTATTAGAAACAATGCTTATTTTTTGGTTGTTACTCGAGTTTTGGTGGCAGTAGGATATTTTACCCCTTCTCTTGATCACCTTTATTTGCTTGAAATCTTTGTTAAGCATTGTTGTCCACAACATATGAGTAGGCAATCTTTTTGCAGTCCTATACTACGGTTTTCTTTGTAGTACTTTTTGGGAATTTATTAAGGATCTAATTCACGATATTCTTTATACTGTCTAGTATAATTAAGTACAGTATAGCAAACATGCTTTTATTGCGTAGTCATAATGGTGGAAACTTGAAAGTATTCAAGGAAACCACTTCTCATGTTTCTAAGTAAAGAAGAGCTGGTATATTTTTTATGACATTCAGGTGCTGGGGTTTTAAATCGAATTTCTACATATAAACACAAAAAAAGAAAATTCAAGGCCAAGTGCGAAACTTGCAAGCGTACAAGATTATTGACAAATAATAAATGTATGAGAGTATCGTCCCATGAAGAATAAATTTTAATTCAAGTATACTAGTTTTGTATCGAATAGAGATGATTTTGTTATTTATTCCAAATTATTCTATGAAATATGTAAATGTGTTTGTTTGTTTGTATGAATGAATGGATGTTTGTGTTGAATTTTTGAATTCGTTTACTGCTATCTATTTCAATTCTCAATTATGTAATTTAGTTTCGTTCACGCATTTTTGACAATCGATAAATTTATTGCATTTTTTCCAAGATAAATTAAGTCTATTTTAGTTACGATCCAATCATATTCCTAGTTTGAATTCGAATGAATAGAAAACATTAAATTACACGATTATTTAGATGATTTCATGCACGATATTTTTATTGATAACATCTATTGCATGTATGTTAGCTTTGCAGTGTTCTAAACTTAATTGTGAATTTTTCAGCACTACAAGCAACAAATTATTTGTTGATGGACGAGAGAAAATAATGCAATAAGAATGCAAGATTAATCAAGAAAGTGAAAAATTAATAAATTATTTGTCTTGAATTAAAATAAATAAATAATATGGTTCATCTTCATCTAATACAAATAAGGATTTAGCATATCATGATTTTATATAAATTACAAGAAGAATATTGAATGGATGTCAATCGGATCATGAATAAATGCAAGATATCTCGATCTTTAATTCCAAGCTCAACATCTTCAAATTTTTGATGTAATTGGCCTTCAAGTCCTTGTTAGGTTGATCTTCTCTCCAAAAAATATGAAGGATAATGATTGTTGTACATAATTTATGTACATAAGGGGATACATAATGTGATGTGGCAATCATCTGTAGTTGATGTGAAAGTGTAAGATTTGAATTAAAAGTTGGATATGTGCCACATGTAATTATGTAAACCATTATGTGAAAATTTATGTATCCTTAGCAAAGTCCAAATATGAATTCGCCTCTTGTTCATGATGAATTTTATGATTAGATGTGTAGTAAGATTCTAGAGAGAGATCTTTGTTTGGCTGCCCATGCTTTTGATTTGTAGAAGGTGAAATTAGCTCAAGAAATACGTCTAAATTGGGTTTCAAAAGAGTTACAATCAAATAAGAGAAGTCGCATGGTTCTGTCTTTACAGAGCCGATAGTATTTTTGTCATATTTTTCTCTTTAAATATTTGATTGGGGTGATTCAAAATATGTTGAGAATCTAATTCAAAGGAATACAATTCTCAATATGTGGTTGAAAATCTGGTGCATAAGTTTTGCGGATGAAAACTGATTTGTGAAAATACTTCGACTATAATTCACCCATTTGACTTTTAATTATACCCAATTGACTCTTCGAATTCTTCAATTGTCATTTTGTGATCCAATTCAACTTGGATATTTGCACTTTGTCCCCAAATTTTTGATTTCTTCCATTTTAGCCTATTTTTCGTTGCATTCTTCCAATTTCACTTTAATTACCGAGTTTTACCTAACAAACAATAAATACAAAATTAAGCCATAATTCATCAAAATCCACAACAATCAATCTCATTTACTGGCCTAGATATCACAAACCATCTTTAGACACTCCGTTTTAACTATATTGTGATTATAAATAATATATCTCCAAAAATTCTCTGTCCTCAATGAAGTCTACTACCAACAAGTATATTCTAAAATCATGTTGGGA